CCTTTAAATGAAAATACATAAACAGTCTCAAAGTCTCAACTAATTACTTTTATGCTTTGGAAACAATTAAGGAGTACATTAAATGTAATACTGCAAAATCAATATAGTCGTAATACCAACTGTGATTGTATATTGATAAAAAAAAGGCGAGAAGAAATTATCTGAAAAGTGAGGGTGACACATTATAAATCAGTCTCATGAATATTAATTAGGTGGCATAATATTAATTATGTGCCCAGTAGTTGTAACCGCTTTAGGTGGCAGACTGGTTAGTCATTGGGTAAGGCTGACATGGTATTGGAGACTAATGTAAATTAATTTTATTTACCAAGACTCCACTAGTCACCGTGACCCAGGTATTCTGAGGTTATTCTCAGCGGTGCTCATACTTTATTGCTTCAGGACCAGAGAACAGACTTCACTCTCTACTCAAGGAGCTGTAGGCGGCCACATGAAAAACCCTCTTTGAATAACTCATGAAGCACATGCAAAAGAACACAAGTGTGTATTTTGTTTCCATAAAGTTGCCCTTACTCAAACACGTTGTGATTGAATTAGAGTAAAGGAAAAAAATAATAGGTGAACTGTAAAAGTTTTTGGAGAAAGTTTATGCTAGGCTGCAAGCTGGATGGACTGTAGTGAACTGGAAATGATACGAGGGACTCTCCTGAGCTGGTTTTATTGGATGGAGGTTAAATAATGGAAGTTAATGGAATAATGGAATAATTTTTTTCTTTTGGTTTATTCTCAGCGGTGCTCATACTTTATTGCTTCAGGACCAGAGAACAGACTTCACTCTCTACTCAAGGAGCTGTAGGCGGCCACATGAAAAACCCTCTTTGAATAACTCATGAAGCACATGCAAAAGAACACAAGTGTGTATTTTGTTTCCATAAAGTTGCCCTTACTCAAACACTTTGTGATCGAATTAGGTTAAAGGAAAAAAATAATAGGTGAACTGTAAAAGTTTTTGGAGAAGTTTATGCTAGGCTGCAAGCTGGATGGACTGTAGTGAACTGGAAATGATACGAGGGACTCTCATGAGCTGGTTTTATTGGATGGAGGTTAAATAATGGAAGTTAATGGAATAATGGAATAATTTTTTTAAGCCTTGGAAGTTACCAAAAGAAAAAAAATACATAAGCTGCATTATTATTATTGAAAAAAAAAAGGTGTTTGTAGCAGAGATATTCACATCTAAATATGGTCATTCCAATAGAGTCGCACCTTCCACAGATCATTTGCCATCACACTCAGGTCCAAGATGTAGATGAGTTTGTTTCTCTGTTTGAAAAGATTTGGAGAAATTTAGCATTACATCACTTGCTCATCAATGGATCCTCTGCAGTGAATGGGTGCCGTCAGAATGAGAGTCCAAACAGCTGATGAAAAATGTGACAATAAAAACAAAAGGATGGGTGTGAAAAGAGTGAAAAGCCGCGTTTTTGTTCATCATTTCGCTTCCAGCTAAAATATGAGTCCTCTATCCAAAATATTGCTTTCTCCATTGAAAATGTTGTCTTGTCTGAATCTGGAGAGAAATATGCACAGATCAAGCACTGTTTACAAGAGAAAACAGTCCAAAACAGTTCTAAACAAATATGTTGATGGATTTTGATGTGAGAGGACAAAAAGGGATGGACTTTTTCACTGGAGGAAGCAATACTATGAGTTATGGACTCGTATTTTGGCAAGAAGCAAGTGATGTAATGCTACATTTCTCCCAATCTGTTACAAGGAAGAAACAAACTGTACATCTTGGATGCTCTGAGAGTGATTCATTTTAAGCAAACTATTCCTTTAATGTTGTCATTATCATAGAACATGAGATATTATCAAAATGTCAAAGGCAAAGCTGCCTTTTTAATACAATGAAAAAGGACAGAGATAATTTACTGTCAAATTCAGTTCCGATTTAGATTTTTATTTTTACTAATTTAATATTATGTCCAGTTTATTAAACCAGGTTAGCTGGACACCAAGTCAGGAAGGTCTCCTAAAACATGGCTTAAAGGACATAAATCTTTTTGGTTCATTTCAACATCTCAAATATCAGTAATGTATGTCTGCTGACAACTACTTCCTGCAACACAATAATATGTAGCATAAATCTCTGTATATTATCTTTAAATATCTATACACAATATATCTCTAACTATTCCATATATCTGTTTTTCTGCATTTAACACATGCTTCAGCATTTGATAAACAATGATCTTTAAGAGCATGTGAGAGTGATGGGTAATAATGTCTAACACATTCACACAATCACAGTCTATAAATAAACACATAGCAACACATTTCCACCCAATCCAAATTCAGTCAGTTCAAACCCTTCAGGGAAAAGACAAAGATCTCGGTCATAATATACAGTCAGGGATTGAGTGAAATAACTTTCATACTATTCTTTCTCTCTCTATTCTCATACACAGACACATTCCTTCTCATAGAGACAGCAGGTAACAGGGTTTCTATAGAAACAGCAGTTCAATCTGAACATTTATTTCTTCAGTGCTGGATGGCTGGAGATGACAACATGTTTAAGACAGCATATCACAGACAAAGCAGTGGACATCTACCAGAATTGAAACAGGATTTAAATGGGTGCCGTCAGAATGAGAGTCCAAACAGCTGATGAAAAATGTGACAATAAAAACAAAAGGATGGGTGTGAAAAGAGTGAAAAGCCGCGTTTTTGTTCATCATTTCGCTTCCAGCTAAAATATGAGTCCTCTATCCAAAATATTGCTTTCTCCATTGAAAATGTTGTCTTGTCTGAATCTGGAGAGAAATATGCACAGATCAAGCACTGTTTACAAGAGAAAACAGTCCAAAACAGTTCTAAACAAATATGTTGATGGATTTTGATGTGAGAGGACAAAAAGGGATGGACTTTTTCACTGGAGGAAGCAATACTATGAGTTATGGACTCGTATTTTGGCAAGAAGCAAGTGATGTAATGCTACATTTCTCCCAATCTGTTACAAGGAAGAAACAAACTGTACATCTTGGATGCTCTGAGAGTGATTCATTTTAAGCAAACTATTCCTTTAATGTTGTCATTATCATAGAACATGAGATATTATCAAAATGTCAAAGGCAAAGCTGCCTTTTTAATACAATGAAAAAGGACAGAGATAATTTACTGTCAAATTCAGTTCCGATTTAGATTTTTATTTTTACTAATTTAATATTATGTCCAGTTTATTAAACCAGGTTAGCTGGACACCAAGTCAGGAAGGTCTCCTAAAACATGGCTTAAAGGACATAAATCTTTTTGGTTCATTTCAACATCTCAAATATCAGTAATGTATGTCTGCTGACAACTACTTCCTGCAACACAATAATATGTAGCATAAATCTCTGTATATTATCTTTAAATATCTATACACAATATATCTCTAACTATTCCATATATCTGTTTTTCTGCATTTAACACATGCTTCAGCATTTGATAAACAATGATCTTTAAGAGCATGTGAGAGTGATGGGTAATAATGTCTAACACATTCACACAATCACAGTCTATAAATAAACACATAGCAACACATTTCCACCCAATCCAAATTCAGTCAGTTCAAACCCTTCAGGGAAAAGACAAAGATCTCGGTCATAATATACAGTCAGGGATTGAGTGAAATAACTTTCATACTATTCTTTCTCTCTCTATTCTCATACACAGACACATTCCTTCTCATAGAGACAGCAGGTAACAGGGTTTCTATAGAAACAGCAGTTCAATCTGAACATTTATTTCTTCAGTGCTGGATGGCTGGAGATGACAACATGTTTAAGACAGCATATCACAGACAAAGCAGTGGACATCTACCAGAATTGAAACAGGATTTAAAAGGACAACTTTACCAATGAAGTGATTTTTATATGGGATGTTCATTGTTCATTGTTCAGTTAACAAGTTAGATTTTTCACAGCCTTTGATGCTAATGTAAACCTTTTAAACACCGAATAAGCAACAAAACAGGAATTATTTTGGCAATGTTGTCCAAAAACCCAAATGCTTTTAAATTCTCCCACTACTCTCTACCTTTCAAAGGTTTGAGATTGGTATTTTTTTTAAAGAAAGGATGCATTAAATTGATCAAAAGTGGCAGTAAAGACATTTATATTGTTACAAAAGATTTCTATTTCAAATAAATGCTGTTCTTTTAAACTTGTATTGCGATTTGCACAGAAATATTAAGCAGCTGTTTTCAAAATTGAGAACAGTAAGTGATGTTTCTCAAGCACCAAATCAGTATATTAGAATGATATCTGGAGGATAATCTGGAGTAAAATTCAGCTTTACCATCACAGGGATAAATTACATTTGAAATATATTAAAACACAAAACAGTTATTTTAAATTGTAATAATATTTCACAATATTACATGCAGTTTTCTCATCACTTAAGCACAAATTAGTTGTGCTTCTCTTTGGCAACATTTCTAATTCTCATGCACTATAGAAATTCACATTACATTCATCTGCTTGAAACTCCATTTACATAAAAAGAGAATGTCAATCTTGTTACATCTTATCTGTTTGTGCTGCTCAAAAGAGTCATTTAGGAGTAACCATACAGTAAATGCTCTACAGAATGTTTGCAGGATCTACAAAATTCTTACAGTATGTTAATTTATGCAAATTTCATAAACAGGGGAAATTACTGCCCTCCAGAAGATCAACAAGCATACTGTTTCTCCGCTTTGGCATATCAAACAGCAGATATCTCTTAAAGAAACATGTCTGATCATGTACTACCTTCTAAAATGCCAAACGGCTGCGGTGTTTCAGTTTTACATGTGCAGCTGTACAGCTACATGCTCATCCGAGTTATCAAACAGATCTACTAATGTACTTCAACACAACCAGGAGTTATACAAGAACGCCCACTCAACACAGTCGCTATTGTGCTAAGATAAGACACATAAAAACTACATCTCCACAGGATTCACTCACAACCATGGCCTAAACTTCCCACCTGTCCCAGCGTGAACCTACCGTCATCATCAAAGACATCCTCTGCCTCCTCACACATCAGTTCATTTAGGTCATCCTTTGTGATGTCAGGAAAGGCCATTCCGTCTTATCCTCTCTTTCGCTTAAGTGTCGGAGCAGTAACTATACTGTGAAATCAGCGTTCGGACTGTCTCCCCCCCCAGGTGAACGTGAAGCCCTGAGCAGAGAGGCGAGAGGCAGTGGACCGCTCTGAGCTTCTACTCAATGCACCGAGGCGAGTGTGAGTGTGTGTGGGAGCCCACACCATCCAGGCCAAGTTTCATCAACAGGATGATTTCATAATCTCCTGTGTGAGTGTCAGAATGAGGGAGATGTGTATGTGTGTGTGGTAAATATGCCAAGCGTAATGTGTTGAGCAGAGGTCGGGCCGAAGCATCTTGAGAGCCAAACCCTGTGGAGTATTCATCTTGAAATATTACTAACAATATAAAAAGTTATTCATACGTTTACTTTATAAAAATCATTATCGGTTTCACAGCAAAAAGACAACCTGAAGGTGGATATTTTTATAATTATACTAAAAGGCTTTTAACTAAGCAAAGTTGTGAACATGTTGATCATTTAGAGGCCTTATCAAATCATTTAAAAAGGGGTCATATGATGCTGCTAAAAAGAACATTATTTTGTGTATTTGGTGTAATGAAATGTGTTTATGCGGTTTAAGGTTAAAAAAACACATTATTTTCCACATACTGTACATTATTGTTTCTCCTCTATGCCGCCTTTCTGAAACGCGACGATTTTTACAAAGCTCATCGGTCTGAAAAAGCGAGGTGTGCTCTGATTGGCCAGCTATCCAGTGCATTGTGATTGGCCGAATTCCTCAAGCGTGTGACGGAAATGTTACGTCCCTTACCATATTGTGATGCCTGCGGCAACCAAGGCAAATCATCCCACAGAGCGACGTAGGTATGTGGGGGCGTGTTAGAACGAGCCGTTTTAGGTAGGTGTGGCTGACTCTTAACTTTTATAAAGAATATCTCTTTGGATTTGAGACTTTAGTCTTTGCAACTTTACAGATCTTCTTTATACACCAAGAGCTTGTAACACTCAAAAGAGAAAGGAAAAATTGAAATCGCATTATATGACCCCTTTACACTGGCATATCAAATATGATGTAGGCTTTATAGGGTTAAGGTGCATAAGGTGAATCACTTACAAGTTTCTGTCATGTTCTACACATCTTAAGTCTTTCTGAAATAGTAACTAGGCTGCAGTTGATTTAAGTCTTTCTCTTTAATTTTGGTGTGCCTCCGATGAGAGCTCTGTGGAACTGACCTAATGACAATCTCATTAACGGAGGGGTCAGCTCACACACTCACAGTCGTATAACAGCAATTATTCACTTACATGTCCTAAATAGAGGAACCAAAATAGATCCACCCACACTCGTCACGTTTCCAGGAAACATTTTGATGCTTGCTCCATCCTTTCACAACTAGTGGTGTTTGCTAAGGCAAGAATCACTATTATTATTATTTTTATTATTCAAATGAAGAGTATTAACAGTATTAAACTGTGAAATGTAAGTCATCCTTAGCAGTTGGTGCTATATGGACATGAATGATTCATCAAATTATGCTTTTCCAAACAACCAGACTTATGCTTCTCACCTGGTGGACAATAAAGTCTCACCTGACATCAAATAAATTCTATTAGTAAAAACTTATTTTAAATGAGGAAGCCATAACTAGCGAACACCTCCTAGAACTGCCTACCTATACCTACTTTATGCAATTAAATAACACATTTACATTAGGCTACCTACCACCTATAACTACTTACCACCTACTACACCAACTAACCTGGTAAAAACTAATTAACTGAAAGAAAATTGAACCAGAATTTGAAGAAATCATGTCTGTTAAAAAAAAAAACTCTATTTTTAAATTAAAAAACAGAGATTTTGTATGTTTTGTATGATTTTGTACAAACACAACAAATCTTATTTACTAATAATTTCTTATTTATGTGCACGAAAAAAATGTTCTTACACAACGTTTTGCTTGATTACTGATTGATTTTCGCTTGATTACTGCCAGTAGCCTAACAGGCCTAATAATAAGTGGCATACGCGCATAAATTTGTTCCTACCTTCGTTGAAATGTTGATGAATCCGAATTATTCCAAATGATCTACTAACTTGCATGAAACGTGCCAAATCATATCCATATAAGGCCTTTCTGTACCACCTCACGTCCCTCTCAGTCCAGCTCACTAGTGGTGTCTTGTGTGAGTGCACTCGCATGGCGATAAGTGAAATAAACCTATTGTTCGGTAAAACGTTTCGAAGCACTATGACTTCTGTAAACATGTTTCTTATAAAAATGAATCATAATGAGATGGGTCAGGTCTAGTTTTCTTCATATGGTTAAAGTTTATTCTTGTAAACAGCTAGTTGCAATCCCCAGAAGGCTCCCTGACTCTACAGCTATGCAACTAAAATTCACTAGGTAAAGATTGATGAGTGCATTGTGTTTGGTTTGAGATAGACTGGCTCGCCCCTGCATGGCCTAAAGTCTCCTGGTGGTGCCTTTCAGGTTTCTGCGCACGAATAATGAAGGACAAGAGAGTAATAAGACCCCTGAAATAGCCAGGAGGAACCGTTCTCTAGACCAGACCACACACAATAAGCCTGGCTACAACTAACATCAGTGTGAACCTCAAATCTAATGCAAAAATTCTGTTAAAATCCTTCTCATGCAGTGTACATATTAGTACCTTTTGAAAGGGCACAGGTTTTCTGAGGTTAAATAACAATATGTATAAGAATATACATGTTTTAAATCAGATGAGCAGTTATTTGATGTATATGTTCTTTTAAACCTTTAAAGCATATCTCATCTATACTGTACATAAAATGAAATGTGCAAATTCCACAATAAAACAGTCATTGCCTAGTATTTATTTTCATTGTCTGTTATAGATTTAAAAATGAAGTCTTTTATGTCAATACAGGCTCATCAACAGTCTGTCCTGTCGTAATTATGTTAGCTGTTAGTCATACCACTGAGAATGAGCAGATATCATACCGACACACACACACACACACCTGCTGTTATCAGCACATCCCACACACCACAGGCTGCCCTGGGTAAAAACAAGAAACACACTGTATGAAAAATATCAAACAAAAGCCTTTGGGAAGCCGGAAAGTAATCTGCACAATATCTCCACAAATATTGATAGTTTGTTAAACAGTTTAATAGAGAAGCTGAAATCCATTTCTACAGTGATTCTACTGCGTTTATTTTATGGGAACATTTTAGTGTCTATTGCCATAAAGTTCACATTTTATTACTTTTAAAAGTGGTACTTGAGGCCCACTCAATGAAACCATTCACTAATATATCTACTCTTTAGACCAAGTCTGCAAAAGCACACTACGTGTTTTAAACTAAGTTTGCAAATTGTTAAACAAACTTTTTGCTAAACCCTAAACACAGTTCTCTACATTACACACATCATTCAAAACTCGCAGCTCTTTTGTTTCATTTGGGAAACACTGCCATTTAAATGCCACACTCAATTACTGATGACCTACAGCCGGTGATCATGTGCGAAAAACACTTAGACATCATTTGTTCACTTAGAAATCAAAACTCAGTGCTTTGAGAAAGAAATTATGTTTACCCCCTTCCATTTCTTTTTGCAGTGTATATATATATATATATATATGTGTGTGTGTGTGTGTATATATATATATATATAT